CCCCCGTTTTTGATCCCATTCCTGGACCAGTGACAGCAATTGAATTACTGTAGTTTTTCTTTAGGGGAAGGGCAATAATACCTTATTTGTGGCTTTTTAAATTATTCAATAAAAATCAAGGCAGGTAAAAACAACCATTTCTCAATAGGAAAAATGGCATGATTCACGGCGCTGGCAGCTCTCTGTGGCTACGGAACAGCCAGAGCTGGAAGGACCACGGGAAGGATATCGAGGCTTTAGGGGACAGCGGGATGGCAACCGAGGCTTCAGAGGACGCGACGGAAACAGGAACCGAGGCTTCAGAGGACAGCGGTCAGGAGGTGGCAATAGAAACAATAGATTTCAAAACAAAGGCCAGAAGAGGAGTTTTAATAAAGCATTCGGTTAGTAATTTGAAATAGAATTTATATTTTTTCATACAAAGGTTAAAAAAAAAAAGACATTGTGTTTCTTCCTAACCACTTCCCCCATCTCTTCCAAAAAAGACAATTTCATCTCATCATTCTTTATCACTTGGAACGCTAATGCTACATCTACATCAGGAATCCCTTTGACACAGGGGTATATGAATTCGTTACATTTTTATGCTAATGTATTATCTAAATTACAAGATAAAAATCAAGCACGAATCTGCCTGTACTTTGTATCTTGATTTGTCTTCATACTTAAGAGTCTCTCAATAGTGTCTTCCCCTGAATACCTGTGGGGAATACAACAGCCTCTGGAGAAACACTGAGCGATCAAGACTTTGTTCTTTAATTGGCATTCCTTGGCCACCTGCCTAACAACCACTCATATGGTCCTAAGTTGTCTGAAAATTACCACTGAGCAATGTTTTGAAACAAGATTTCAAACTCAACTGAGATGTAATGCAGTTTATGCCAGCATACATCTACTAGGAGGATGGTGATATATTTGATTGATGTGTTATAGGTTAGCCATTTTAAGATATTTTTAGTTTCTCATAAGGTGAGTCAGGCTTCATTGAATTCACAGATTTTACATATGAGTATATATACCTATATATATGCATACACACGTGTTTTAATAGAAAGCAAGCATCTGTTAGGAATTGCGGAACTATAAAATGCCCAAGTAAGAAGACTGGGTAAGTGATGCTTAGTAAAAAGGTACTCCAATTCCTGTTGGGAGATTAACGTTTACCAAGAGGAACTAAGGTAATGAGAGGCACAGGTTTGCATTGCGCAAGAGTGTATCAAAAACTCACTGAAAATGTATTTTGCATATGAGGGGGAAAACATCTTTGCCGCAAAGAGAAGAACAAATGAAGCTGACAATAAAGCATTTGCCTGATGGTGGAAAGCTAATGGGTTAAATAATCTTTCTAAAAGGTAATTTGTAATGAGAATACTTTTTTAGGTAAAGGAGCTATTAGATTGCTACTCCATTGAAAGCTTTAGCTGCTTCCTTTTTAAGACACATTGTACATGGTTTTTTTAAGTTGTTGCTTTGAGGAAATTAAACTTACTACAGGCCCTGACTAGGTAACTTCTCTGATTTCTCAAATATTTCTCTGGGAAACTTTTTCCATGGTGCAGGAGCTTAAGAGTAGCATTGTCTTCTCGCCTTAATTCATAGAATTTCTGTAATAAGAACCTCAGGGAATACATTTTGATGGGAGAAATTAGAATATATGGCCTGTACTGTATTGATTGAATTATTTTAATTGTTTTAAGCTAATTCTTTATCCTGGTTTCCTTCTACTCAGATGGGTCTTTGTATGTCTAACTGCCTCCTACTTAATCACCGTGCAGTGCATTGTGCAGTACAAATAGCTGACTCAGCTCTTGATTCTTTATCTATTTGTACTTTAGTTCTGTCCTTGAATATTGACTGGAAAGTCTCTGTTCTCAGAAATTCTCTTTTATTTTTATTTCTTGAGCTTTTCATTTGTATCACTTTTTCTCTTCATGGCTTCCAGTCAAGCCACAGGGTTTTAGGAGAGGTGTTGATGACAGTCAACACTTGTGTCTGTGGATTACAATTTACCAGATTTTGGTTTTGCTCCAAGTACTGAGCACAGCACAGTAACAACCAAGACATTTCAAGATTTTAATAGGAATGGGTACCTTACTAAGAATAAAAGGATACATCCTTGGAAAGGAACTGCTAAAACTTTGATGTGGAATAGCCTAAACAAAAATCAGGTATACATCAAGAGTAAGGGGCAAGATAAAAGGAATTCTGCTTTAAGCAACTTAATTCTATGGAAAGCATCACTGTTGGAATAAGTAAAGCTAAAGTTTCTCCTGAATCCTAGAATTCAAACCATATTTGTAAATTTTTAATTCAGCTACCACTTGGTCTAAATAGTCTTGTTGGGCTAAGCCTGGGAAATGTTGTCAATTTTTACTATTTTCTACAGAGAAAGTATTTTCCAATTTATGTATCAACTCAATTAACTTTTAAAATATAACCCATTTTTATGTTGGGGCTATATGTGCAGCCATTTTATTTACAGTTGTACATAAAATGTTTTTACTGTAAAACTGAGTTAATGTATAAAATAATGCTCTATGCCATAATAAAGATATTAGTACTTAATGCTTGTTTTTGGTGGCCTTTTTCCTAATATTGACAAAAACATTTTAAAATGATAAATAATGGGTGTAAAGCTCCAAACATTGAAGAAGAAACAAGCAAGTCATAATCACCCCCATATCTAGATTTTGAGCATGTTTCGGAGTCAAATCATTCAGTTTTACGAATTGCATTTTTCTCAACAACTGCATATCTATAAGTAAAAATTGTACTTTTTAAAAAAAAGATTTATTTATGCATACAGAACTGGGGTACAACCTGAGGTGCAGGGGCAGTGAGAGGATTCACCGGAGACAAAGTGGGGAGCAGAACAGGCAGATTGTTGAAGTACACTGCTGAGGGGAGCAGCGGCTAGATCAGGAGAGGTCTGTGGCGCCATGTGGTCACCTTCGGGGCAGGCGGGTATTGAACTCATGCTGAAGTGGTTTTTAGCTTCTTAGTGCTGTGCTTTAACCCGCTACCTCACCAGGGAGGGTCAACAATCTATAACTTTGATGACTCATATCTCAGGGTGTGCCGTTGAATACTTAACTAGGGCTTAGGATGGCGTGTATAGGTTATTTGTAATTTATCACTGTTAGAAAACAACCCAAAATTGAATGTCCTTGTATAAATCCTTACCTACTTGCCTGTAACTATAGGATAAATTTCCTAAAAGTAGAATTGCAGGGTCAAAAATGAATGTATTTTAAATTTTGGTTGCAAGCAGCTTGCCAAGGCTATGCCAGTTTACATTCCCCGCCTATAAAGCATGAGGATTTTTTTTCTACTCTTTTTTCGCCCAACACTACAACACTGAATTTTGACTTTACCTTTATCAGGTTTTTTTAGCTGCAAAATAACTTTATTTACATTTTAGTTGAGTGACAATACCACATTTATTGGCTGTTTGCATTTAGAAAAATTATATCTTAATTGGGGTCTGTACCTTTTATTAATGAGTTCTTTTATTAGTAACATTGTCAAGTAGTTAAAAGTTCATAAAAATATGGCCCTCCCTGGTGGCGCAGTGGGTTAAAGCACTGCACTGAGAAGCTAAAGCCACTTCCGCATGAGTTTGAATCCCGCCTGCCCTGGAGG